CTTAATAGCTAAAGTTTCTACGTACCTCGGTACCAAGGGACAGGTGACAAGCTTGTTAAAGCCCCCGATGAACGTGCATGACCCATCAAGAAGGGCTGCTGCCACTGATGCAGAACCAACCTGTTCAAACATGGCCGCATCAACAAAGCAACGCAGGAGATCCGGCTGATTCAAGTGCTGAAACCCCGACCCCTCCGACGTCGTCATCGTGGCACCATGTATATCACGACTTCTCCTAGCTACGCATACTTCTCGTGCCCAATCAGCAGCAACCTCCGGTCTGACCACCTTGAGTTCCCAGCAGTCCTGATTTCAGGCTTTCCAAATGGCCCAAATACCCGCAGCCATCACTGCCCCATCGACAACCGAAGTCAATCCAAAAACAGCCGCCAAACAATTATTAAAGTTCTCGTGCATGCCTGTGGCGATCTCTCTGTGTAGGAGTCTCCAAGTAGCCTGAGCAAAAGGACAGAAAAGGAAAACATGCTCCACTGATTCTTCCGGTGCCCCACAGATGCGGCAGTTAGGCTCAATAGCAACCCCCTTGGCTCTAAGAGCTACCGCCGTAGGTAAGACACCCCTTAAGCACCTCCACACACAATTTTTTACCTTGGGTAATGATGGGCAGTCCCCAAAGTCGATTCCACTGGCCGAAATTCTCTAACTGTGCTGCTTCCCCGCATAGCCTCCTGTAAGCACTTTTCACCGTGTAATTTCCATGTGTTTCCGCAATCCAATATCAACAGTCCTTGCGAGAGAGAGACAAAGGAGTACGTTGAATTCGGATTGCATCTTCGGCTGAGAACCATTCACACACCACATCCATTTTCCATGCGTTAGTTTCCGGATCAATTAGATAAGAAACTTTAAAGTTTGGACAAAAGGGGGTTTTGGAGACGTAATGAATGGGCTGTCCTTGTCCCAAATCCAAGGAGTATCCCAAATTAGAGTATCTCATCCGTCCCCAATTCGTCGACCTATGCCATTAATGATAAGATTTTGGGCTTCTAAAATGCTCCACCACACAAAACTCGGTGATGAGCCAAGCCCCGCATTCAGGAAGTCCCCTTTTGAGTAATACCTCGCCTTAAAGACTATCGCCACCAAGGAATCCGGGTTGACCATCAGTCTCCAACCTTGTTTTCCAATCATAGCAACATTGAAGTCTCGAATCCTTCTGAAGCCTAGGCCACCAAATTTTTTTGGCGTTGACATACACTGCCACGAGAGCCAGTGAATTCCAGATGGGTCCAAGCCTTTGTTGCTCCACCAGAAGTGATTCATAATTCCTTCTATTCTGTGGCAAAGTCCAATGGGGAGAAGAAAAACATTCATTGCATATTGAGGTAATGCTTGAGCGACAGTTTTAAGTAAAATTTCCTTCCCCGCTTTTGAAAGAAGCCGTTTGCCCCATCCCCCAACTCGGCTCCTAATCTTGTCAATGATAAAGTAAAAAGTCTCGGTCTTGTATCTCCCAATGAAAGAAGGTAGGCCCAAATATTTTCCAAAGTCGACAGCTTTCTCTACACCAAAAAGATTTGACAAAGAGTCTTGAATGGCAGTGGGAGTGTTGGTACTAAAGCAAATCGTAGACTTATGATAATTTACCCTTTGGCCAGATAGTTGCTCGTAATCATCAAGGCATTGCCGAACTGCTTGAGCCTCTCCCATCGTTGCTTTAAACAGAAGTAAACTTTCATCGGCAAAAAACAGATGAGAGATGGTCGGAGCTCCTCTTGCTACACGGATACCGTGTAAGAGTTTCCTTTCCTCAGCTTTCCTCAAAAGAAGGGATAGACCCTCCGCACATATAATAAACAGGTAGGGGCTCAGTGGATCGCCTTGTCTCAGGCCCTGCGAAGGGCTTAAAACATCCGTGAGTGTGCCATTAACCAGAGCTCTGTACCTAACTGAAGCCACGCACATCATAACAAGGTGTATCCATCTATCGTCAAAACCCAACCAACCAAGCATACTCTCCAAAAAGTTCCACTTCACTCTATCATAAGCCTTCGCCATGTCCAGTTTTAGTCCTACCCAACCATTAGTCCCACCATTCTTTCGACGCAAATAGTGACCTGCTTCCGCTGCCAGTAAGATGTTGTGTGAGATAAGCCTCCCCGAAAGGAAAGCTGACTGGTTCTCTGGAATCAATTCTTGTAGGAGGGGCTTCATTCTGTTAGCAACAATTTTGGCAATAATCTTGTAAACCACATTGCAGAGTGCAGTGGCGAGCTTGCTCTTCTTAGGGATTAAAACCAATGTTGCGTCCCCGAGGCCTTGGGGGATACAGCCCCTCTGAAGACAGTCTAAGACAAAAGTTGTCGTGTCAGTACCCACCACGTCCCAAAATTTCTGGAAGAAAGCCGGATTCATTCCATCCAGGCCAGGCGCCTTATCCGGGTGCTTGGAGAACAAAGCATTTTTCACTTCCACTTCAGTGAAGGGTGCCAGCATTTTTTCATTTTGTTCTCTGGACACTCTTGAATGATCTAAGCCTGAAAAGAGGTCCATACTCAGCATTCTCCCATCCCGCGGCCCAGCACAAACAAAAAGATTCGAGTAAAAATCAAACACAAGTTTGGTGAGATTGCTCCCTTCGTGCCAGTTGCCATTCAAGTCCCTGAGCTTGCGAATATAGTTTTTCCTCCTTCAATGCGAAGCATAATTATGGAAAAAATGAGTATTTCTATCTCCCTCACTAAGCCAGTGTTGTTTTGCTCGTTGCCGCCAGTAACAATCATTCTTGTCCATCAATGAATCAATCTCCTTCGTGATGTTAATTCTTCCCGTCATGGCTGTCGGGCTACGAACTCCACGGAGTCTCTCCAGAATGCCCCTCAAGTGGCTAATCTTTTCTGTGGTGTCTCCTTTTTTGCTTTTGCCCCAACCTTCGAGTTTCTCTCCACAAAGGTGAATCCTATCCGAGAAAGCTCTGCCACTGGAAGCCGACCAGCAACCTTTCAGAAATGGTTTGAAGGATTCCTCCAGTAACCAAGCATTCTCAAATTTAAATCTCTGTCGTGTACCAATGTTTTCCCTTCCATGTAGGAGCAAGATCAAAATCGAATGGTCTGACCATCGTGAAGATTTGTTGACAAGCCTGTTGCGTGGAAACAAATCCCTCCAGCATGGGGAGACCACTGCCCTATCAAGCCTTTCCTCTACCCAGTCTGGAGTGCCCTTTTTCTATTCCCACGTATACGGGTATCCCTCCATGGCCTTGTCTGCTAAATTACAGAAGGATAATGCATTATTAAAACCCTCGATTAAATTCGGGGGTCTAGAATTTCCCCCCTTGTTTTCATGTGTAGCACAGATATCATTGAAATCCCCAATCACTAATCAAGGTAAATCTGCCTTGGCCTTAAGCGATTTGAGAAGATTCTAGGCTTCCTCCCTCTGTTCTCTTCTAGGATGTCCATAGAAACCCGTGAGACGCCATTTGATCCCATCATCGATAGAGACTGCTACATCCACATGATTTCTGGAGTAGGAGATCAAATTCACACACCACCGATTGCTCCAGAAAAGTGCAAGCCCGCCACTTCTTCCAACTGTTGGGAAAATATTATACATTTTGATGATGATATATTTAGATTGTAATAGGGACTTTAGGCCTCCTCCAATATTCAATGTAATTTTTCTTTTTAGAAATATTGTTAAAACCGAGTTCTTGAGATTTCCAATAAAATTGTGATATTTCATTAAGTGGTTTGATGCTTGAAGACTTAATCAAATTTAGTGATATGGAAATTGGATATCTTGATCGGAAATATCAGAGACAAGTAAGGATTTCTCAAAGTAGTTGAAGATCCTGTAATTCGGAACTCTACATGATAACCGGATGTCTCGCTACAACTCTCTGAAGGCTAAGTCATCCAAATCGGAAGACTAGCGCGGATCTCTTCTCACATGAAAGTCTATGAATGACTTTTCCGAATTTGTCAGCGAAGAACCAGATGTCTCAAGAAAAACCGGAACTCTTAGAAGTGGACAAGTGAGAAAAGACTTAGAAAATTATCTAAGTCTTGAATGAAGAAATTCTACCCGTTGGTAAGGAAAAATCAATCTCTTGATTTTCAACGGCTAGATTGAAGATAATTAAGCTGATTCAAGAAAAAATGACTTGAAGACAAAGTCTGGACCTCTCAAATTAAAGAGCTCATCCAGAATTCCTAAACAAGCACTAGAAGACAAACTGAGTAAAGAACTACAGTCCAGAATTCTTGAACAACAGCTAGAAGACGGATTCTGTGGAAAAAGGAATCCCTCCTCAAACAATTGGGTATGTCCAAACACCCTTTCCAATGAGGAATCCTCAATCACAATCTTCATTCAAAATTGAAGCCAGCAAATGCAACGGATAGCCTATTTTGATTCAACGGATAGATTACCCAATCCAGCTATAAATAGCATCCTTGGAAGACTGGAGAACACATGAGATAGAAAAGCACGAAATACATATAACGAAGAAAACTACATCAAAAGCTATCTCATTCACAGTTAGCCAAAAGCTTGATAAAGAGAGATTCCTAAACTCCTTATCCAGAAGCAAACTGCTCCTCCTTCCAAAGAGCTATAGTGTAAAGACTTGAAGGTTTCCTTGCCTCAAGTACCACACCACGTTGAAGGATACAACTTTTAATCAAACTTCTTGATTAAAAGGGGGTACATCAACTTTCTTACAAGTTGATCTTGCAAGTCCTATTGTTCGGATCTTGCAGTTGTTGAAGAAGGGTGACGTTTGAAGGAACAACAAAGCCAGCACGAGTGCAGTAGCAATATTGGCCTTGCGAAGATATATCGTGCAGAAATTCACACAAGTGTAATTGTTGGTTCATTATTCAACAACCAACTACATAGTGGATTTTGAGGACGTAGAAGGATTACCCTACCTTCGAACCTCGTTAAAGTTTGCGTGTCTCTCTCTTTTATCTTTACTCATACTTGCAATTATATTAACTGTGAAAACTAACTCATCCATATTGATTACTGCTCATTACCCACCAAATTCCACGCACAATCTAAAGTTCACAAGAACTCTAATTAACACTCATTTTCACGTTTTCAAAAGAAACAAACGAAAAAGTTTGTAAAATTTGTAACAAAGTCTATTCACCCCCCCTCTAGACTTTGTATCTCACCACTTTGGGACTACCAATTAGTATCAGAGCCTAACTTCTCACTATCTACATTTAGATTAATGAGAAGCAATCATAATGGTGAACAATATGGATCACGGTTTGCCCAAGTTTTCTCTTCTAGGTTATGATGATTGGAAGATTATGATGGAAGCGCACCTCTATGCTCTACATGATTGCATGTGGATGGTGCTTGAAGATGGACCCTTGAAAATCCAAATGGAGAATCTTGAGAGGAATCCAGCCAATCCAGATGTAGTCCAGTACATTCCAAAGCCCAAGGAGAAATGGGATGATAGAGATTGCAAGAAGCACAATCTGGACAACGTCGCCAAAGCAGCCATCTTCAAGACACTTGATCCCATCACCTTCTCCAAGATCAAGCATCTCAAGACTGCCATGGAGATCTGGCAAGGTCTTGGGAAGCTGTGTGAGGGATCAGAGGATCTAAGAAAGCATAAGATAGAGGTCATTCTTGAGAAGTTCAAAAGTTTCAAAATGCTTCCCGGAGAATCATTTGGTATGTTGGATGAAAGATTCCACAAAATCTTAAATGATCTTGCATCACTTAACCACGTTCTTTCTCCCAAAGAAAAGAATGTAAGGTTACTGAGGTCTCTTCCAACTGAGTGGTATACCAAGGCCACAACCATGGAAGAAGGAAGAAATCTGGAGAACTACACTGTCCAAGGTCTCCTTGATGAGCTCAGAACCTATGAGCATGAGCTGAAGAAGAAGAAGGAAGAACAAGTCACTCCTTTTCCCACAGCATGAATGACAATTCCAAGAGTCTCATCAAGTGAAGGGACATGCTCAAGGAACTGTGACACACCCTCCTCGAGCCAGCCGTCAAGATAAAAAATGGAGAACTATGATGAGGAATTTGCCATGATGGTCAAGCAATTCCGGATGTTCAAGAAGTTCTTCAAGAAAGCGGACTCAGTCAGAAGGCCATCCAAGGGAAAGCCACAGGTAAGTGACTCCCCTCCTGACTCTTATTTGTGTTATAACTGCAGGAAACCTGGTCATTGGAAGTCAGCATGCCCGTACCCAAAAGTGAAGAAGTACGGAGAAAGAGAAAGGAACGAGAAGAAGAAGAAGGCAATGGTTGCAGCTGAAAGTGACGAGTCATCCAGTTCAAGCTCAGATGAAGAAGCCCTCGTCTGCATGGAGCGCAGAACTGAGAAGTCCAACCATGAGAATCGGTGGACTATGTCAGAAGATGACACCCTCTGCCTAATGGCCAAAGATGATGTTGATCAAGAGGTAGCTTCACAAACCTCCTGCTCATTCTCTTATGAAAGCATACCAACTTCTGAAAGTCTTTTTGACAAGTTCAAAAAGATGATGAAAGATTTTGAGGAAATAAATCTCAAACACTCATCCTTAACAGAGGAGAATCTTTTTACTTGGTTTTTTCCCTCAACACTTTTTCAAGGTATTTAATCTTTTTTTTCAATTTTCTTCTTTTAGGGGATTTGGTTTCAATATCTCCTTTTCTACTTAATAAAACACTCTTTTCTTACACACACACCTTGGTACATCATAGTGAAAAATATAATGTATATAGATAAATTTTGCGAGTCATTTATTCATGATTATAAAATTTGTGTCATTAACTTCTGGGATTTCGTCTTGCAGAATTTGATTGAAGAATTTGTAGAATCAAAGAATAATCAATTTGAACGAAATGGAGATGATATCTCTGATTCTACTGTCAACAAAAGAAAGATAGAGGTGGAACATTGTGATGGAGACCGGGATGAGTCGAGCAAGAAGATGAAGATCGTTATAATAGAGAAGAATTAGGAATATATATTTTATGTTAGCCTGAGAGTATTATTTTTTTTGGATTGATTTATGTGTCACACAGTTTATATATAATTTATAATTTTTGGATTGTTTGTTGTTTAGTATTTAAAATACAAAATTTTATGGCATTTGGTATTATAAAAAAGATTGCATGTTTGAAGAATATATACTCAATTCAATATCCTTACTCATATAGTATACGTTTACCATTTATATGCTTCATATTTTCATAACATAGATTAATGTTATTTTCTTAAATTTTCAATTTCATTGTTTTCGTTTTTTAAATCAATTTAATGAAAAGGTACTAATTACCACGATTTTTTCATTTCTTTTCATTAATAAAAAAGGGAGTTGGATTTACTAATATCATTTAGGATTAAATAGTTTGAACATGAAAATTTTAAATAAACTAATTCTACGGACTGAAATATTTTTTAATGTTTAGTATGTATGTTTTTAAAATGTACAATTTTTTATTCTTACCTACTCAACATCTCCCATTAGAAAAAATAACAGAAATGTTTGGTATCTACGATTTTTTTTATTTGTAAAGATATTGGGAAAAAAAAGTCAGTAAATAAAAATCAGGAATAAGGTGTTATACGTTTTCAAGACGTAAATGCATAAAAATTAAAAAACAACGTTATAGATACTTTTTCTTTAAATGTATATAACATTAGTTTCATAAATTTATATTTTCTTTCTTTTTTTTATAAATATATCAAATATTAGTCAGATACTAAATACGTTTTTTCATTACTTTCCATTATATTATCTCTCTTCTCATATTAAAAAAATGAGATAGTATGAATATTACAGAGTATTAATTGGTGGTAAAAAATTTAAGCATAAAAAAATAAAACACCCTCCAACTATACAGCAACAACATTTAACGAAATTGTTTTAGTTCTGACTTTTTTTCAAGTCATATTTCAAGCTCCTGCACATATAAAAGAGAATCAATAACTATAATATGAGCAATGCTAGGGGTACACCTTCGGTGTACCCCATTTGTCCCACACCCCTTTCTCCATCACACATTTTTATTTCATTTTTAATTATTTATTTATTTATAAGTTTTTTGCTCATTTATGTGGTGGAGGAGGGGGTGGGGGACAAATGGGGTACAACCTATCATTTTTCCTATACTATACTACGTATAAAAAACTCTTTTATACGTAATTAAATAGTATGCCCTCTAGCTCAAATATATTATCACACTTTACCTTTTTCTGGGCAACTTATGCAATTTTGGACAACAAGTAAATAACAATAATATTTATTTAACTAAGAGAATCACCGAGTATAATATACCACATATAATGGTACATGGTAGATCGTTGAAGAATTGCGAAGAAATGTTAGAGACCCAATTTTTTTTATTAGGAAATAATGCCGGGGAAAAAGTTTACATACTCCAGATTAATTTGGTACCGTCTGATCCTTGATTACCATTGAGGTTTCAAAGAAGACAACTTTATATTTCAATTTCAAGAGTGAAAACAAAGACAATATTAAAAGTGTTAGTTTTTTATGATAGCGGTAACCCTTGCAACAAAACAAAAAATATTGTATATGCCCTCATGTTTTCCAAAAGATTTGGATTTAAAATTATACCTTTACATGTTCTTTTTGTTTTGTATATATATGAATATGAATTTCAGATATCACATATTTATGGTATATCGCCCATTAAGTTCTACAGTTCGATATTATAATTTGATTTATTTATATTTATTATCATTAACTAAGAAGAAAAAAATAAGTGAGTAAAAAAAACAAGTTGTTCAACCCCGTGCGTTGCACGGGTTAAATACTATAGATATCACCCTAAATAGGACTAAAACATAGAGAAAAGTACCAAAATAGGACTTTCATGTTTTTTTCCCCGAAATAGAACTTTGCACTGTGGTAATGTGACTTTGCATTGTGGTAATGTGGCAGTGTACATGTGCACATTACTATACTTTTTTGGTAATGTATATGACCATGTTTGGTAATGTAAGTCTTATTTTGGGAATAAAAACATGGAAGTCCTATTTTGGTATATTTTCAATGTTTTAGTCCTACTTTAGTCTTTCTCCCTAAATACTAGTTTTATATACTACGGAGTAGTATTTTAACCCGTGCCATGCACGGGTGGAATGAATTTTTAATTTTTCCATGCTACAACATTTTAAAAAATCGTATGTACCAAATAAAACATCAACATTAAAAGTTAGAATCCTATATATATATATATATATATATATATATATATATATATATATATATATATATATATATATATATATATATATATATATATATGTAAAAGAGAGTTACACACTTGTGGTGATGACACGTGTCATGCCACACGGGCATACTACTGACATGTGTCATGCCACATGTAAATTACAAGACACATGTCACTCCACACATGCATATTCAATTTTGCATTAAATTATTATTTTTATTATATTTTATAAACCTTTCACTTTCCAACAATAAAAAAACCTTATTTTTATTATTTTTTATTAAATTTTCACTTTCTAACTATTTTAGAAATATTTTTTTAAATATGTGTGACAATTTTTATAATATTAAAATAATTATATAAAATTTATTAATTAAGAAAAACATGTTTCTTATAATTTTGAAAATTATCCAACGTCTCAAAAGAAACTATTATATATAATTTTTATCACACATGCATCTTTATTAACTTCATAACATGTTTTAATTTTTTGTCTTATTTTATTATATATTTTTTAGCAAACTAAACAAAGTGAAAGTTTAATTGATGGATTACATGTGGCACATGACAGATATGCATTCTCTAATGATGTGTCATTATTTAATTGATTTAATTGATATTTTTATTTTTATTTTTATTAATTAAAACAATTTTCATTATTATTTTATTTGATGACCATTACATTTGTATAAAAGTTTTAGGTCACGTGTGCATTACACCTTGGCGTGTGTCATGCCGCATGTATATATTTATTATTATTAAAGTTTCATGAAAAACCTTCAATTTTGTACATTAAATGACTTTTATTTTTATTATAGTTTTATAAACCCTTCACTTTCTTGCACTAAATAACAATTATTATTGAGCAAAAAAAATATCTATTGTTATTAAAATTTCAAAGCAGTATTATAACATTTTTATCACATATAAATATTTATTAAATACAAAATTATTTCAAACTTTATATCCTATTACATACTACGAAGTATGAGTATATTTTAGTATATGGTGTATTTTTTTCAATAAACTAAACAAAACAAAGTTAGAGTTGAAAGATGATATGCGTTGTATGTCATATATGTATTTTCTCATTATGTGTCATTACTTAATTGATTCATTTGAAATTTGTTATTTGAATTTTTTAATAAAAAATTATTTATTTATTATTTTTTCAGTGATCATTTAGTTTGTATAAAACATTTCATGTGACGTGTGCACACCATGCCACATGTGATACCACAAGTGATGTCATCAATCCATATTTATTTTTATTGGGTTTTTATAAACTTCATATATCATATTAAAGAATTAAAATAAATAATATTTTATTTTTTAGATGTAGAATATTAGAAAACATGCAAAGTCTGAAAAAAGAACTAACATTATATATACATATACATACATGCATGCACACGCGCGCGCACACACACACACACATATCCACCATTTATTTTATATTTTTATTTTACCAAATAACTATATTTTATTAACTATATATTTACTAACTATATACTTATTTTATTTCATAATATTTTATTTGTAACATTATTTAATTTGCTATATATCATTTCAACAAATTAAATTAATTTAATTTGTTTTTATTGAAGTATAACACATAGCATATCTATAGGCCATATACCACATTTGTATTTTTCAATGATTTATCATTACCTTAATTTATTTGGCATTTTAATTTTATTTTGTCATTAGTTAAATCAATTTTCATTAGTATATCATTTAATAACAATTTGATATTTTTGGTCAAGTTGTTCTATACTCTGACCACAAAGTGTATAAATGTATAAAAATTGTGTCCATTTAAAATATTGCTTTCATATATCAAATTTTTATGATATTTGATTATTTAAAATTGTATTTAATTTATAATCAAAATGTTACATAGTTTTACCAAAAAAGTCTAACTATGATAATCTTAATTAATAGACACGTGAACACATCCTGAGCCCGTGCGAAGCACGGGGTAGAAAACTAGTAATAATGATAAAGTATACTTCCTCCACCTCACAAAATTTTTCTCGTTTTGACTTTTAAATGATATATTTTGATGTTGATATTTCAAAAATGTCCTTCGATGGGATAGGTTAAAGTAAGATGTGATAGGTAGATTAATACTGAAAAAATGTGATGTTATAAACAGGTTAAGAATTGATAAGGGTAAAAGTGAGTTTTTAATAGGAATGAGAAAGATTTTTTTGGGACGGATGAAAAAAGAAAGGAGAAAATTTTTGTGGGATGTATTTGAAAATTAACATGTCAGACTCTTATTTGAATTATAACATTTTGAAAAATTAAGGTATATAACATTTTTGTGTGATATTATAAAATACTACCAAAAACATCTAAAACTAATACTTCCAACCTTACTTTTACTCTCACTCACTAAATCATAATATTGATGGAATTATTAAGAGTATGAACCACTTCGTTGTAATCTATTTCCACAAAGATAGGCATCCAATCTTTGTCCTTGTTAAAGGTTCAAGCCTCATTTACATAAATTACCTCCACTTCTCTGGGTCAAAAACATCCTCTACCATTATAGCCCCTTATAATTTCAAGCAATAAAATGAACCCCAACACTCTATCAGCCAACCTCGTTAAAGCATCCACATCAATCTTGACGTAGCCATTATACAACCATCATTGATGGGCAAAAAATTGATTCTCCCCATATTAGTTTCGATTATTGAAAAAAATTGATTCATCTCCCCGCATTAATATTATTCTCCTTCCTCATATTGATTAAAAAAATATTATTTTTCTTTCCACAATTTAATAAAACAATATATTGGTGATTCTATTATTATTCTCCTTGCATTAGTTATGACTCAAAGAATATGATTCTTCTATACTGCGTCACTACTTTAATTTTGAATAACAAAATAAATATTATTCATCTCTAATGTATTATCATGATTTTTCTCTCTCACATTGATTAAAAAATATCGAAATGATTCTTCTCTCCCCGCATAAGTAAAAGAATCTTAGATTAGCAATTCTATAATTCCTCCACCTCCCTGTGAAAGGATATTATCATTAAAACGAATATTTCATT